CCGTTATGATTCGTTACGGTTGCTACACACCCCCGAAGGATGCGTAATAGTATTTTTCATCGAGTTGTTCTAATCACTCACCCTACTAGGGTTTGATATTCCTGAACATGAAATTTTCGAGTGATTACTTGTATTGACATATAGTGTTTGTACATTAGTGATTACAAAAGGAAAATGCTACAAGATAACCACATATCGGATTTCCTGTCTTTCAACTCGTTGACTTTATTTGACTCGACTTTGACTTTGACTTTGACTTTGACTTTGACCCGAAGTTGATGGTTGTCACACACTCACAGTGCGGTCATCTATAATCTCCACCTCAAGCGGGGAATCCAAAGTTTTCGGCGCATCCCGAAACTTCTTGCTAAGCGCAATAGAAACAAACGATTGACCAGAAAGGTCCCTATACATAATCATAATATACACATAAGCAATGCAATAAATCTAGTGCAGGGAAATAAAATATGTACTAGCCACAACGTCTGGCACTGCCCGAGCCTCCTCGGTGGTCAACTGAAATGCGCGACTCTTCACCGTTTAGTATCCGCCTTAGCAGGGCGGCCATCAGTAATCATCATTATGGTGGGCGCAGGTGCCACCACTGCTCCTCCCACTCCCTGCAACCTAGGACAATCGGCCGTTTTATGGCCAGCCTGGTTGCAGTGGAAACAAATAAAGCCCTTCTTGGGGAATCCCTACTCAAGTGACTCGACTGGCCACATGCATAACACCCTGAGCCCGCTATCCGACAAGCCCCACTGTGCGATTTACCGTACTTGGCACACCGACCCCGTCCCTGTTGGCCCCTACTGGAAGAATCTGAAGTCTTGGGCTTTTTAGCCTGACCCACTACTGTCTGTGCCTGATCAGGCTTCCACTTGGTGCGGAATTCCAATTCCATATCCCGCTCACAGGCCTTCTCCACCCTCTCATTCAGGGTTTTGCACCCTGTGAAGCTCACAAACTTCGCGATATCATTCGTCAACATGGAATGATACCTCATCCTCCTCATTTCCTCATCGGTAGCATATTGTGGGATGAACAATGCTCGTTCCCGAAACTTGGCAGTCCTCCTTAGAGCTTCCAGGTCTAAGATTAGTTCGGGTACAGGTTTTGTGCTTTCAGTAGTACGGGCCCACTACTACCTTCCACACCTACCTATACCTTCCCCAAGGCTCTACCTGACAACTCTAATTCGTCCCAAAATAAATCATATCCCACAGACTACCGCATATCTTAAATCCTAGGTGATCCTAAGATTTTCTCTACCCACATCAATCATACCAATCATAACATGTTGCCTTTATGCATGCAAATTATACACAGAAAAGGATCAAAAAGATTTTCGAATAAGAGATTCTACCCTAGGACCACAACCATACAAGGAACAGGAAATAAGGCCAAATCAGTCATTCTAAGGTTATATGCTCCTAACCGTATACAATTTTAAAAGCATACACATAGCAAGATCCATACGATTATCATAGCTCAAATATCAGTATAACATGGCTAACATATTGGGTAACTACTTACTTAGCTCAGACGATCTCGCGCATTGCACTCTCCTCTTTTCCATTCTTTGAAAGTTTTAACTTTTATTATTTTTTTATTTTTGAAAACAATTTTACCATTTTCTTAGTTTGGGTCCCGACACACCTGAGGGTGTGCCTGAATCCCTCAAACCAAGGCTCTGATACCAACTTGTAACGACCCTATTTTCAAGAGAAAATTTTCATTTTTGAATAACCAAAATACTTTCCACAAACCATGAAATCCCAAATACAACTGTTTTCAAAATTCATATCAAATACAATTTTATTTTAAATCATCAGAGTGTCCTATAAAAACTCCTGAGAGTGAGAGAGAGTGTGTGTGTGCACGTCACGCCATCAAGCCTTGCATGTGCCCTTAGGCTCAGATGTACCTGAAACAAATCCACAAACTGTAAGCTCATGTTTAGTGAGTTTCCCTAGAGCATACCCCACACATAATCCACATAACACAAATCATATTAGCTATAAAGATACATATATCACATAAGCCATGCATACAAACATATAAGGATGCCATGGGCTCCCCCCACATGATCTTATACCAAAGTGTCATGGGCTCCCCCTATGGTCTTTAACCGACAAGCCATGGGCTCCCCCACATGGTCTTTCATTCGACTGCTATGGGCTTCCCCCATGGTCTTTAACTATTATGCCATGAGCTCCCCCACATGGTGTTATCCATGTGACATGGGCTCCCCCCATGGTCTTCCCTACAAGTATCATATAATCACTAGCATACCACTTAGCATATAGCTAACTATCATACCACATAACTCTACTACAGCTAGTGTACCACATATCACAAAATGGGCTGGACTTGGTGTCTTGGACCCATTGGTATGGTGAGGAGACTCACCTCTGTCTGCTGAATCTAAAAGCTGCCCTCCTAACAATACGTAACCACCCGTGCTGAAAAATAATACCATTACCCAAGGTTAGGGCTGAACACAATTCAATTGAAGAACCTAAATCCAAGTCCTTTCACAATGGCCCAAAAAGTCTTCCTTTGCTAATGGCCCCAAAGTCCCTATCCAAAATCATTAATGGGCATCATGGCCCAATAAAGCCCAACCATAGGAACCATGGCCCAAAACATATAAGTTGGCCCACTAACTCCAAAACGTGACCAGGCCCAAAGGCTTACAAGCCCAAAACAAGTCCGAGTCCATCTGTTGTGCGTACGCCTTGCGTACCACCCTGGTAAACACAGCGTACTGAGTCCCTGAGCCGTACGCACTGCATGCTCTAAGTTACGCCCAACGTACAATCATATTAAGCACATTTTCCATTAAGTGCTTAATACTCGATGTTCTAACGTCCAAACCTTAGATTTGATCTCATTAAGACGTCCTAAGGAATAAAGTTGGCAACTTTATGCCTTTGCATGCCCCCTATGCTCCCAACAACTCATTAAGACCTTTCCAAGAGTCTTAATCCATGCATGAGGTCAAAACACCCATCAAGACCCCATTTTTATGCTATGAATGGACCAAAGGACTTCAGATCTATCCTCCCTAAGCTCTGGAGTTGCTCAAACTCTCAAGAGGTGGTTCAAGAACACAAAAAGGGACTAAGGAGAAAACCCTAGCTTTAGAAATGCAAATGATAACTAAGGTGAAAGCTTTTTACCTCCTAAAGCTTTCTGGACTGCTCAAAATGCAAGATCTAGAAGCTCTTCCTCGTTTAAGCTTGTTTCCAATTCTTCTTTGTAGCTAATACACAAAAGGATGGTGTTCAAACGCTTAAAAGCTCAAGAACACACTCTCAAATGATTTTACAGTTTTCAGGGACGTTTGAAGGTGACGGAGGTTGGTTAGGGTGAAGCTCAAATGAGATAAGGATGCTTATATAGGTCTCAAGTCCGGAAATTAGGGTTTGAACATCCGTCATGTACGCCCAACGTGCGTGTTGGCCCTCCGTGATCATCCATGCATGGTACGCTAAGCGTACCCATGAATTACGCCCAGCGTACTTAAGGGACTTATTATGCAATATTTAAAATTTCAAGGGCTTCAAAGGTAATACCTGAGTTGGAGTGTTACAACACATACACACATGCACACGCATAAACATACACACGTACACATACAAATATACACATTTCCCTAATTATCATCATTTTTCATTACTATTAAACATAGATTATTCCACCTTATTGATATATTAAAATTAGTTTTTTTTTTTCGTTTGTGTGTTTGTTTGTGTATTATACACATTCGTTACTATTATGTTTAGAAATATTAATATTAGTAGTACTATTAATATGATTTTTAATTGTTTGTGTTTTATATATGTAAGAAAAAGATCCAAAAAAAAAATTAAGCCTAGAATGATGAAAAAAAATAATAAAGGGAATAATAATAATAATAATAATAATAATAATAATAATAATAATAATAATGGAATTTATAAACCCGTCAATATTTCGTAGTTATTATGTAACTAATCTCTTTTGTCGGTAGTCCGTAGCTATTCTGTAGCTAATTAAGTACAGAATAACTACGGATTTTACTTCCATTATTATTCTGTAGCTATTTCTTTACTAAATTTGGGCATTCCATTATGCATGTAATTACTACGGAGCTACTTTTTGTAGCTAAACCTCATGTTTTCTAGTAGTGGGATGCCAACTTCAGCGGTGTTCAATCATGAGTTGCGGTTCTTCATCCAATTCATCACAAAACACTTTACCAATGAGTTATGGGAGGTATCAACATTTTTCTTTAACTTTTTCATTTGCATTAATTCTAAACTCATTGACCAAGTTATTCATCCAATTCATCACAAAACACTTCACCAATACAATGAGTTATGTGAGATCACTTCATGTATCAATATTTTTCTAACTTTTTCATTTGCATTAATTCTAAACTCATTGACCAAGTTGAGTCGGTTCGGTGGAACCAACAGTAGGTATAGACTTGGAAACGACATATATGTGTTGTGTTAATATAAAATTGAAACCAGATCATAATGGAATAGCAAGAATTTAACGACACTAAGGATCGCACACATTGAATCTTATATAAGTGCCTAGTAGGCATAACTCTAAACTCTTAAATAGATGCAAATACGTTTTCTCGCAAATATTTAGAGATAGTAAATTCTTAGAACATTGTGAAACATATATAAAATGTGATTCAGTGAGCTTTATATTGGATGGATCTTGAAATCTCTCATTATTATTTCTCTGGAAACATATATTTTTTCCGCGAAATATCTGTGGTGCTTTATGTCAGAAAAGCATTTCCATGAGTTTGTGAGCATATATCTACGATCATTGTGGTCACTTTGTTAATGGACGTAAAAATGTGGTTTTGTGGTGACAGTGTGACACTCTACAACTTATTATGGTCACCTTATTAAATAACTCGGTAAATTATGCTAATAAAATAAATCAAAATTAAAAATATATAATCAGTCATAATTAATATTCAAATCATACAGTGCCATAAAAATCACATGTTGAAATGAAGGTCACGGGTAAATGACAAATAATTAAAGCTTTGGATTTTGATAGTAAATCATAAACTCTTTTTGCTTGAAGAGATTCTTGGAACCATTCGTTGAGTGATAAACATCCTTCAGAAGCTTATATTGAAGTCTAACATAAAAAAGGACTGGCATCGAAGCAATTACGCTAATAACAATTGGTACCCAAATCAAGTTGTTTCGATAGAGGACAAAGAAACTCTCACTAAAAGCGACCATCATGGAGGCTATAGATAAGAAGAGTGTTGCTAGGCCAAACAATAGCCTCTTAGGTAACGATTCCAAGAAATCCTCTTCAGCATAACGAGATGTGAGGATAGATAAAAATATGAGAATTGAAATCGAAGAGCTTGTCAAAGAAATGGCGTCTGATATGACAAATACTATGAAAGCGGGGTTATGAAGGAACATAGGAACACCATTGTTTTGATTGTACCCTCCAGGAACTGTAAAAGCTGCTGCGAAAGCAATGGTAGTTATGAGGGTTGCCACCACCATGCTTTGGTTAGCAGTGCCTTTGATCCATTTTTCACCGGCAGACATTAAATCTTTGTGCTCTTTGCTAAACAATTCATGTGGTGTTAAATTATCATTGTTCTTCTCTTCTAGATAATTCGAGGGAACCATATCTTTTACTTCCTACACAAAAAAAAAGTTTAATGATCTTAATTTGGTCAAGCATAATTTCCAACAAACATTCAGCATAACAAAATGCGATTAAGGTTGTGCTTGGTGTGCATAAAATAACATATAAACTAATTCATTTTTTTGAATTTAATGCAATATAGTGTTTTGTGAGACAATGAAAATAGATTATGAGCTAATTTTTTAAAAAGATATTCAACACTGTATATTGATAAAGACATTGGGCTTTTCTATAAATTATACGTACAAATATACCATTATATGTTAACACTTTTCTAAAATGTTATGTACAATTTTTGTTTTATAAAACCTAGTTTTCTTATAACTTTTTTTTTTCTCTCAATTTACAATTTTTCATAACTATTTTTCCGAATGCCTATTATATTTCAGTTTTTTTAACTTTTTCTATTATATTTTTTTGAATAATACAATACTTCAATTTGATGAAGTCTTTAGATATTTCTAAACATTATATATGAAAAAAGAAAGAAAAAAAAATGATTAGAATACGTGGCGGAAGTTAAAATGTCGACTTATATGAAAAAATAAAATGTGAAACTTGCAATCTATTTAAGTATGAAGAGTTGGATTATTTGGGATTTAGAGGGAAAGGAATACCTTAAACCATAACAATTCTCGTTGCATTTGCAAAGCAACCCCTGAAACCACTTGAAGTCTGTTTTCGTTTGCTATCTTTCCAGCTAAATGCAACATATTATTTCGATCAACGTCCTTAATTGATGTTATCATGTCCTTCATTGAGCCGATCTCTTGAAGAAGATTAAATATATCCTCATGACGATATGAGACAGCAACATGAAATATTGTTTGCTTGTAATGATTTTTCTTCCATATAAGATCTGGATATTTGCGAAAGAGCTCAACTAAGAAGCCCGTGTTTCCCATCTCAGCAGCAACAAATAGTGTGCGAAAAGAGTACTTATCACCTTGTATTTGTGTCCCACCTTGTGGTTGTGTTACAGCAGAAGTCCCATTCCAATGGCTATGAAGACTATCATGTATCTTCTCAACATTTTTTGAAATAGTTTGAAGTATAATTCCCTCCACATGTTCCTTCTTAGAGGCGAGTGGCATCTGATCAGATGGCCCACTGATAATTTTACTAACGGCATCCTTTGAATATGTTATTAGAATACGTGTCCAAATTAATCTTAGTAGTTTAACAGCATCCCTTGGATTTTCTGCAGGCCCGACCTTGACATAAATGGCTGGGAAAACTGAAACCCACAACCAGACACAAAGAAGCAATATTTAATCATGAGTATCACAAAGCTGGATAATGGTTAGTTGATTAATAAATATTTTAGGAATAGAGATATTCACATCGACGTATGATTCTCCAGATAAAACATGGTTTTGATACTTTGAATGCATCCTTTTTTCGAGCCAATGATCCAAGTACACGCGAATCGACAGCGATATTTGGCCATTCAGTCACTATTTTGAAAGCGACATCTACAAAATATTTGGCAACCACTAAATGTGCGAATTTAAAGTGTACAATTTTTGTTTTGAACAAAATCCTGGAAACCCTTAATATAATAATTCAAGCAACTTATACATACCAAAGAGATTAGCTTCAACGCATTTCTGAAGAACCCAATTGCGTCTGGATTCTTTGGCCCAATCATCTCCCGTCATGTGCGTAGATTTATCGTAGAGATAACGAATCATCTCTTTTTTTCCAAATAATGATGCCCAGTAGAGTGGCATCATTTGTTCAGCGCCAGGAATATTCACCAGTTTTGGATTTTTTATCAACATAATCATGGCAATTTTGATATTTCCGGCTGCTGCAGCTAAACATAGTGCTGTGTTGGAATCATTATTTCTAAGTTCTAACTGTTCGCTTGTCATCTTATTCACTAGATTTCGCACAAACGTTTCCATCTTTTTGCTGGTTTTTGCCGATGCAGCAATATGAAGTGCAGTTTCATTATTTTCTGTGATGGGATAGCCCACCAGGTCTAGAGAGTGGTGTTCGGCAAGGATGACTTGTGCAGCTTCCCAATCACCTCTTATTGATGCATTATAGAGAGGAACGCAAATGCTGAGGTATGCTGCTCTTTCTTCGGCTTCTATAAATTAATTAAATAAAGAAAGTTTATTACCAAGGGAATTTTGGCCTGGCGTATCAGGTATTATTGGATAGTTGTCCTTTAGCAAAGGCTGAAAGTTCTTGTCGAGATAAAATGTATATATTTACGAATGGAGTGATGATTGTGTGTGAGTTAGCATTTAAAATGGAAAAATAAAAGAAGGATAAAGCTAATTACTTTAAAAGGGACTAACATAGAAAATCCATGGACAAACGACAAAAATTACATCCCATAAGGGGCAAAATGCCAAACAATCAACGATCATCCTTTAACTATGTTTATTGATGATTTTCATCTAACAATTGCCTATATGGTCGTCATCCGTTGAAAAAAAGAAAAAGAAAAAAGAAATACCAAAACTAATTTGTTCCTTTTAATCCTTCCATGTTTACATTTCCACAATACAAGCTGGAAAATAACTTTTAATATAAGATTCAATGTTATCCTTGGAAAGTATGAAGATGAAGTATGGTCATTGAAAAATATTGTGAAATTGATTTCAATAACTAAAGGCATGTTATTCGATGATCTACTTCAAAATTATCGATATAAGGTACTTTAAACAGGAGGAGAGGAATGTGTGTTCACAATAGTTGACTTTCCAGTAGTGAATCTTAATGATCTCATTACTTTAGCGAAGATCTTTATTGATCTTGATAACTCACATGTACCAAAGAAAAGAAATTATGTTGTCGCTTATGGACATATAAAGAATTTTATTGATTGTTATTTCACCTATTTGGGATTATCTGATTTTGACTTAGCAAAGCTTTCAACAGATCTACAAAAAACCCAAATACTGGGATGGATGATATTGATCAATATCAAGATGGTGAAATTCTGATGAAACGAAAATGTGTTGTTTACTATGGAAAGACGAAAAATAATATGATTAATAACTATATGTTTTATACTAATTACAAGTAGAAATTTTCTACCACACATTTGAACAACATTCTAGTGAGAATTTCTAACTGTAAAAACAATTTTGAAGAGGATAAAAGGAGATAAGGAAGATCATAGTTTGGTATTTGGAAATAAGGAAAACACTTTTGGATATTTTCAAAATCACTCGTGCAATTTGAAGATCACAATTGTTCTTCACAAATGGGGAGATTGTAGAGTATATTTTCTTTGTGAAGAATCTGTTGTAGAAAGAATCTTTGAAGTGCAGCTTATATCAAAGACTTACATATCGACGATCTATCTTGTGTTCTATATCAAAATATTCACTATTTCTACATATCTTTTTATTGCATGTAACATTTTTTCCGTTACTTAATTGTCAAAGTCAACATGTTTGTTTTGTGATCAGTTGAGAGCTAGGCATGTTGCTTATATAGTGTTATAGGTAAGAGGTTCATTAACACCTCTCACACACTTTATGCATTTCACTTTCTCTCGCATTTATGTACTCTAACCTCCTTGTTGATCAATCATTGAGGAGAAAAGAATTATTTACACGCCGTGTTATTGCATTTTATCTTTACTTGATTCGTGTTATTATTTCAAAACTAATCAAATATTCTAACAATTCTACTAGATTATTATTAGAATATTCAAACAATTCTAACCATCATACTAGAATATTAAGGTATTTTAACAATTCTAATTGAATATTTATAGGGTAATATGTATTACCTTTGGGCGCATGTTTTCCTAGGATTGTCGCTTTAGAAAAATTTGTTGGTGGAATGTATGGTTTGTGTAGCATAACGAGCTTCGTTTAAGATGTAAGCGCGACGAGGTGAGTTTCATGTGAATCTTGTGGTTGCTTGCATGAAAATTTGTTTCTAAATTATTTGCAATAGCATGTTATCATTGTTATTGCTAGAAATTTTTATATGGAATTTATGAATTATTTCATGTAAAGGGTGAATATGGTGGGTGACACATGTATAGGGAACATGTATATTAATTACACGATCTTATCATTAGTCGTTTTACAGGGTTTGAGTACACGGAAGAGAGCTTACGCTCGTAGTAACTAGGCGTAAGAATATTTGTTGTGTCCGGTAGAGGGACTCGTTCCCTGGAAATGACAGTAGTTCCCTAAGTGTTTCACCAAGTGTGGAAAGAAAACGAAATGAAATATACTTGATAAATTGTTGCATTATTTTATTTTATTGACCTCAATATGCATGACGACCATGAAATCACTAGGCATTAAGCTTACTCATTAGAAACTTTAAATGTACGCAACCTAGGAAATAACATAACAAGTGGAAAAAGGAAGAGGGAAGATATGTGTAACACTTGAACTGGGTATGTTTCCTTTTAGCCCTTTTGTAATTAAGTTATCGCATTTTGGTCCTTGTGGTTAGTACGCGGGGTATAACGCCCGCAGATTCGGGCTAGTTAATTTAGAGACAATGAGCGTCAAAAATGACTTTTTGATGGAAGATTATTTAGAAGGAGTAATCTTAACCAAGTTGTAGTATATGTCACAAGGGTTCCGTACATATAAAGAACGCCGAAATCCGATTTATAACGAAGAAATTATGACCCGTCGAAGTTTTACGGCAAAACCGGCACGACACCGGGAATCGTAAAAAGTGAATTTCCGATAAAATACTTTCTACCCTTAGCGATCTAACGAAAGTCGTAGTATATGTTAAACCGAGAGCGTGCATAAAAAGAACGCCCAAATTTGACTTCGTATGAGGAAGTTATGATTTTTCTAAGATTTAGCATAGTAGTGCACAGCCCGAAATTTGAATTTTAGATCGGTCGATTTTTAGCCAAAATAATCTAAATGAGAAATGAAGTTATCGTTAATAGGAGTTAAACGATAAAATGACAGTCGAAAACGGAGCTCGTATGCGAAAGATATGGACGAAGCTTAGTCTCTACTCTTCAAGCGCGGCGAATTCGATGCAGTTTTGTAAATCTGAGATAGAATGAGAATTAGCCGACGTGGTCTAAATGAAAGTTGTATTACTCATAAATACCAACTCATGGATATAAAGAACGTCGATAATAGAGCTCGTATGCAAAAGATATGGACGAAACTTAGTCCATACTCTTCGAGCGCGATAAAATTCGATACAGTTTTGCAAATCGGAGATAGAATGCGAATTAGCCGACGAGGTCAAAATGAAAGTTGTAGTACTCGTAAATACTAACGCGTGGATATAAATAATGTAGAAAACGGAGCTGAAACTTAGGGCCTACTCTACGACAAAACCCCTATAAATAAGATATGAACTCTTCATATTTTCTTCACACCATAAGCCTTTCTTTCTCTCTCTAACTTCTCTCTAGAATCCCTAAACCCCCCCCCCCCTAAAGCCTAGGAAACTTCCCTAGCGCTAGAAGAAAGCCCCGGAGTGTTCGACAGCTCCGAGAAGAAAAGCTTTCGGCTCGGAAACACTGCTCCAGCGAAGCCCGGTTTTTAATAAAAACCCGCTGTAAGTGAGCGCCTATACTATATTTAATATAACTTTTATTTAAATATAGTAATGTTATTAGGACCTTATAATAATTATTTGAGCCATTATTATGGTTTATATAAGTGTCGTTATAATATCTTTTTAACCACTTGCGGTACGGGGAATCCAGTTTGGAGGGCCGCTTGGGTTGCTATATGCCAAAATGATCATGCCCTCCGGTGTTTCATATCTGGCCCCTGTCTGTACATAGTGGCTGAAGAGTATTGTTTAACGCTTATATAATAGTAATAATAGTTAGACTATTAATTAGTCTCGTTGCACATTAGACTAAACTCTAGTGGTAATGATACTAGGTTTTGTCAAAGGAATTGTTTTAAGATTGACGAAGTGTTGTCCGAGTGCAGAATCACCACCTTAAAAGGTGAGTGCATAGTTACTTTCATCTTACACATAGATATGAAATATTTTATATAAATTACGTGTTATGTGTGCATATTATCTGTATACTTGCTATCTATGTTGGATGAACGATTTTATACATGTTTTAAATGATTTAAATTGTATATGTATTTTATATATACAAAATGTGTTGGGTAAAATATGGGTAGATGTAATAGTTGCTGTGTGATAAAATAAAATAATGAGAGGCCTCGATGTTATTGATGATCTAGTCATCTATCGGAGTATAGATGACAACCACGGACTATTCTAGACAGTCCAGTGGAACACTAGCAGGCTCGTAACTTGTAGGTGTTTTTGAACTACGTATTCACTAGGTATTTTTGAACTAAGTGTTCACCATATGTTTTGAACTAAGTGTTCACCATACGTTTTGAACTACGTGTTCACCAGATGTTTTGAACTACGTGCTCACCAGATGTTTTGAACTGCATGTCCACCAGATGTACCCTGTTGTATAAACCATGGCGACTATACGACTTAGTGCATGTTGTATAAACCCTGACGACTATGCGACTTAGTGCCTGTTAAGTAAACCCTGGCAACGATGGATTTCGTGCCGATTCCTTAGGATGATCCTTAGGAATGAATGAACGACGAATAGCTGAATCTTAGGGTAGATCCTTAAGAGTAAAGAAGATAATGGGGATGGGTAATTGGGTTGATTGTTTGATGTTTAACATAATAGTTATATTATTGTGGGTTGAAAACCCTATGTACTCACCAGGTTTCCCAACCTGACCCACTAAAGCTTATTTGTATCACAGGTGTCGATATGAAGCTACTTTACATTGAGGGATTTAAAAGAGATGTAGATCACTAGTGTAAATGAATGTAAGTTCTATTTATGCTAATGTTTATGTATTGACGATGACATCCCAAATGTTTTAAAATGGATAAAAATACATTTCTTCGGAAATGCCTTGATAACGTATTTATCATGTTTTTCTGGGAACAAATTCCGCAACATTTTTATTAAAAGAGATAGTCTGGTTTTTATAAAGCATAAACAAAATCAGTGTTTTCTGGCCGAGAAAATGGGGATGTCACACGGGGCACACCATAGGGTACGGTTAGCGTACTAGCTGAGAAGCCAGTACGCGGGGCGTACCGCATGTGTACACTTAG